TTTTTAAATGAAGCAGGATGTTTTTTAGTTGTTTTCCGGTCTACAGTTTTTATGCAATAATGCAAGATTCGTTTAATCGTCATTTTGTTTCGGATATCTTTTTTTTTTCTTCTTATAATTGCTAAATAAATGCAAATATTCATAAATATTAAAAGCATAAGACGTAATATGTTGCAATATAATACATCCTTGGATCGTATTAACCTTGTTTACCAAACTATATTGTGCATTCAAACATCCACTTGTTTATAAAAAAAAGATATTAAAGTTATTACTTCATTTATAGTTTTCTTGATGCCTTTAGTGAATTTATTTTAATTTGGATGCTCTGGAGTTGATAAAAAAAACGGGGCGCGTTGCGAGGTGCTGATTTGAAGGGTCGCAGGATGAGGAAATTCCCACTAGAGAAACGAACGCATGTCATAGACGTTAACGGGTGCATTATTATTACTACCTTAACAAAATCGCAGGTACTGACTTTTTGGAACTACAGAAATTCAAATTTGAGTTAGATAAATATTACTTGCAACGCGTTTAGGTCTAACATGTGACTGAAAAGAGTGTGCAATAACTGAATCAATATTGGTATGCTGAAACGCGTATTTTCGAGGGCTACTCAACTGCTGTGCTATGAAATCTGTTCTTCAAGTAAGCAAAACTAAATGTAATACAAAAAGGATCGTCTAGATGTCGCTGGCATTGAGGGAATCGATATTTCCAGCTGTTGTACACCGAGTATTCTCGATAAAGACGTTGGTTCTCGTCGTGCAGGCAGAAGCCACTGAAACGCGCTTCGCAAGTTGTAAACGATTGAAATCCACCCATAAAGTAGAGTGGCATGTACCCTTTGTAAACCAATTTGATATTAATTTTATTAAATCAAACTTAAAATATTACAAAGTAAAAATAGAAAGTTTTGTTAACTAGTGGATTGCAAAATATAACCTAAGGTGAGTATGGATTATGAATTAAATATAACGTTCATCTTTTCGTCATCGCGTACCGCTGACGTCGACCAGTGATAGAAAACTGTTGAAGTTATGTTTAGTTAAGTTGAATTCGATGTTTTGTCCTATAGTAGGCGCTGGCATATATTTGTATTGTTTGTTTGCAGCGGCGTAGCGTGCCTTGTCGGGGCCCCGTATAAAAATTTTTTTGGAGGCCCTTATATGGAGGTAAAAATTTTTCACAAAAGAAAAAAAATATTGTGAGAAGAAATATTTATTTATCACATAATTTACCCATTTAACAAATAAAAATCGAACTTTAAATATTCACTCTCCTTGCCTTTTTTTCGGCAAACTGATTTATTAAATTACTAGCTTTAAACGGAGAAAAGCTTCGCTCGAGTTGAATAAATCAAATAAATATTAGAAATCATTATACATAGTTGAAACAGTTGATAGAAAGAATGTATATTTCACTGCTTGGCTAGGATTATCTATGTGAAAAAATACTACAGCTGTGGTTTAAATTTTAGATGGAATGCTAGATGTGGCGTGAAAGTGATCAATTAACCAGATGCACAGAGGTATTATTGGCTAAACAATTTCTTATTTTATTTTAAAAAAAATTTTTTTATTAAATAAAAGTCGCATATAACCATTCAGGAGACCATCGGGGACCACTAAGAATATGTGTACGGATTTGATGTTGACGTAGCTGTAGGTAATACAATTGGTGATGCTATAGTACTTAGGTGTGAGCTTCATTGCTGGAATGCTAGATGATGGCGTTAAAGTGGTCAAATAACCAGATGCAGAGGTATTAGTGACTAAACAATTTCTTTATTTTATTTAAAAAAAATAATTATTTTTATTAAATAAAAAGTAGCATATAACCTATCAGGGGACCACTAAGAGCATGGGTACAAATTTTCGTGATGATCTGTTAAGTAGTTTTTTGCGTAGCTTTTGATAAACTTCAGGAACCTTTTGCATTTATAATAATGGTAAGGATTTATGGCTGATGATGATTTTTAGTTTTCTAAAGTTTCTGCCTCTATGGACAATAATTGAGGATGTCTGACAGCCATTCTTGTCCCATCAGAAGTTCTTAAATAATTTTTTGATTAGTTTTAATTTTGAAAAACTTCTTTCTGCCGTTTACGGTATTAACTGGAAGGGTCAGAATAAAAGGCATGCTGTGATTTACCTCGGAAAACTGGATACAGAATATTATTTTACTAACTTAATGATTCAATATAAGGTTCTTTAATGGAATAGAATTTTTTTAATTTCAGAATTTAAGCATGTGTTTTAGTGCCTTTAATTTGGTCACAAGATTAAGATTAATTTTTGTCATTTGTAAAATAAGGAAATAGAATTAGAAAGTTTTTATTCTTTTCCTTACACAATTTAGGGGACCCCATTGGCCCAGGGGGCCAATATAGTGATACAGCAAATACGGCGGTAGCTACGCCCCTGTTTGTTTGTTTTCCACGGCAAACGCGTTAACTCTTTTGTTCATTATCATTGTACAACATGTCACGCCCCAATCATTTGCGTGACACCTGGTATGGTTCCAACCCTAGCCAGACACCCCTAAACTATAATATTTTTTTTAATTTTTGAACTTTAGTTATATTAGGAAAGCTGAATTTGATACACATTATGCAGAGAGCTATGAAACTGTGTTTTCTTTCACGCCAGACAGTTTGGTCGGTTCTATCATCCTGCCAGACGCATTGAAAGTGTATAAGAGTTGCCAAAGTAAAATTGTTTAAACATGAAATTTTCACATAATAGTAATTTTATTTAAATATTGACACAGTCATTATTGACGGTTAATTGATGTGTTTTGTGTTTTGCTAAAGATTTATCGCGTGTGGAATATTTCTAAATGTGATTTTTTAGTGTTTATTATGCTTAATTTCACGAGTGTTTCCGTGAGTGAGTTGCCGTCGGATGCCGAATGTCAATATGTTCTGATTTTCAATTATTATAATTAAAATTAGTTTGTAGCGATTATCCAGAACAGTACATAATGGTAAAACTTATTTTCTGTTCTTTTTTATTTTAGAATCTACTATCGTTTAGTAGTGTTCGAAATGCATGTAAGTAAAGAAATTAAATCGTGGTATTTGTGTATTAAATTCATTTGAAATATTTATTTATAAATTTTACGTGAATATTGAGTTTACAATTTTTATATTTTGAGTTAACATGTTTCGTCCAGAGGGCATCTTCATAAACTTTATGTATATTTCATAATATTTCAAATATACAATGGATTACGTATTCGCAAAAGAAAGTAATAAATTTATTAAATTCAGTTGCAAGTTTAAATGCTTAATAACCACATTTGGGAGAAAATGAAAATGAAATAAATATAATAAGGATTAAAAGAACAAATGTGTAATATTCTGTTTAAATTATCCAATTTATTATTATTGATGAATATAATATTGGCTTGTATTTATTACGTTTGTATTTAAAAGCCAGTGTAGTCATTTCATAGGAGAATTGTATTCGTTTTACACAATATGTGCTTATCAGACTAAGTTGGTATGTAAACAACTTTTTTATGGCAATCGAGGGCTGAAATGCAATGCGCAGAATTTGCTGCGTTGTCGTTGTCTTCATGCCATCGACGCGCTTAGGAATTCAGGTAGTTTTTTTTTTAATATTTTTAGCACATATTTCGACAATAAACAATATTTTTGATGTGCAATTTTTTAATTTAAATTCTCCTTTATATTCTAGAAATAGAGACAAGATGTATTCATGGCCAATATGCGATAATCTTGGAAAGAATATAATTATATTTTTCTCAGTAACTCAGAAGTATTTTCTGTGATGCGGAACTAGAAGAGTCATAATGACGTGTGAGTGGTAAAATGACACGTGTTCAGGGCATTGTACGAGGATAGCGGTAGAATTGACTCGTATTCAGAGTAAGTACCGTACGAGAGCAACGGTAGATGTGACTCGTGTTCAGGGTACCGTACAAGGGAGCGGTAGACGTGACTCGTGTTCAGGGCACCGTACTAGGGCAGCGGTAGATGTGACTCGTATTCCGTGTACCGAAGAAGGGAGCGGTAGACGTGACTCGTTTTCAGGGTACTGTACAAGGGCGCGGTAGACGTGACTCGTGTTTAAGGCACCGTACGAGGGCAGCGGTAGATGTGACTCGTGTTCAGGGCATCGTACGAGGGCAGCGGTAGATATGACTCGTATTCAGGGTACCGTACGATGGTAGCGGTAGAAGTGACTCGCATTCGGAAAAATCATTTTAAAGGATACGCTTTTAACGTTCCCGGAATTCGGCCAGGAAGATTTTCAAAATTGGCTTCTAAATTGCAATTTTTAATATTTTCATTTTCATGTTTCATCGTGGGAAATGAAGCATGTTTGGGGACGGTTTTGTGTTATTCGTGTGTTTTCTTTTTAGTCTTGTTGAGGAAGATTCATTTTAGGCTTGATACGCATTAAAGCACCTCCGAAATTCGGCTGGGAACACTCTCAAAGGTGGCTTCAAAATTAGACAGTTTCAATACTTTTCATGTTTAATCGTGGAAATTGGCCTAATATCTCAGAAAAGGTTTGTGTTGTGGGGTGTTCCTTTTTTGTTGTTATATAGAAAAAGGTCATTTTAAACATTGCATTTGACACCCCGAAATTCGGCCGAAAACACCCTCAAAATTAGGCTGTTTTCCAATTTTTTCAAGTTTCATGGTGGGGGTGAGCCATATCTCGAAACGGTTTGCGTTATAGGCGTATTTTTCTTTTTAGTCTTGTAGAGGAAGGAGTCATTTAAAAGGATACGCAAAGCGCTCCGGCATTCGGCTGGGAGAAGAGCCTCAAGAAGTTGGCTTTAAAAGATAAACAATTTCAAAATTTTTAATTTATCAAATTTTATCGTAGAGTTGGCTCACATCACGGGGAACGGTTTGTGTTATTTGGGTGTTCTTTTTTTTCTTGTCATAGCATAAAGAGTCAGATTTAAACGATACGCATTTGACATCCTCAAGAAATTCGGCCAGCACCCTCAAAATTGACTAAAGTTAAGTAATTTTTCAATATTTTTCATGTTTTCCTCGTGAACTTTTGGCTCATATCTCGGGAACGGTACGTGTTATTAGGGTGTCTTTTTTGTTATTGTAAGTAAATCTAAGCGATACTTTATTTGACCCCTCAGAAATTTAGCCAGAACTCCCCTCAAATTGGCTTCAAAATCAGACAATTTTTCAATATTTTTCATGTTTTGATAAAGTGGGAGTAGCTTATATCTTGGGAACGCTTTTGTGTTATTGGTGTGTTCTTTTTGTTCTTATAGAAGGAGAATCATTTTATACAATACGCATTTGGTACCCCAATTCAGCCGGGAACATCCTCAAATTTGGCTTCAAGAATTAAGTCATTTTCAATATTTATCATATTTTATCGTGGGGGTGGCTCATATCGCGAGAGCAGTTTTGTGTGTGCTAAAGGGTGATATTTTTTTGTTGTTATAGAGAGAGAAGAGTCATTTTAAACGATACGCATTTGTGACCACCCAGAAATTTAGCCGTGAACACCCTCAAAATTAGCGTAAAATTAAGCAATTTTCCATATTTTTTCATGTTTTGTCGTGGAAATGGGTTCTATATTTCGGGAGCTGTATGTGTATTATTAAGGGTGATCTCTTCGTAGTTTTGTTGAGAGAGTTGAAGGCTACGCTTTTTCAATCTCGGAATATTTTAAGAGTGAGTTATATGCCAACTTTATACTATTTTCTTGAATTTTTATCATTTCATTTTGTACAGTGTTGAGTTGCGCGCGATTATTTCACGTGGCGTATTTAACTTTAATCGCGTCTATTGTGTTCGACAGGTGCTGTTGTGTAAATTGTCTCCAACCCAACGAATGTATGCAACTGTTTTTTCGATCGAGTTTACACTATTGGCTTTGGCTGTTATTTGTGTTTAGTTTGCTGTGCGTTGTCGTGGCGTGTGCACGCGTTCTCATCGTTTGTGGACCGTTGTAGTTACTTTTTGCGTTTCTTGATTTTAATGTGGGAAATACTAGTATTTAAATAGGTTTGCCATCAATTGTTTTTATATTGTGGACTTTACTGTGAGTGTGTACGCTGCATGCAGCCGGTCTTTGGATCAATTAGTTTAGTGTAAAATTAAGTACGTTTGTTCTCCTTGTGGATAGGCTGCCAACGCCTGAGTAATAAAGGGAGGAACATAATTTCTTATAATAATTTGCAGATTGGTTTGTGTGCACAAGTGAGTAAGGAACATGTAGTAAAAATGTACTTTACTAAATATGAATATTTAATTTATAATAATACATAGATGTTCATTATATGCAATAAAGAATAATGTAATCATATATTTTTGTTCATATTTATTCCTTGTGTTCAGTTTGCTGTTTTCAGATTTAGTTGTAATACATGTTTAACACAAGAATAAAGTATACTATATGTAACTAATTTTACTTACATACTACATACTATAAAAATTATAAATATAAATAACAGAAACAAACAAGATTTGATAACAGAGCGTTGTGGTTCAGTGGTACGTAGGATATGCTACGATACGATGGATTGCTGGTTCGATCCCCAGCTGTTGTAGGACGTTTTCTCAAATATAAAAATAACTGTTGAAATCTGGGTTGCATATGTAAAATCAATCAAATACAATAAAATCCTTAAAGAATATGCAATACAGTGTGGAAGCAAGTTGGTAGAAAGAAGAGAAGAATAAATAACAAGAGCGGGGAGGTAGTAGAAGAGTACTAGAGTAGTGGAATGAGAGAAAAGCCACCCCGAAAGCAGGAGTGGATCAAATTTTTAAATTTTTTGGCGGCGTGTCGTTCTATAAGACAGTCTACACTTATTGCCCACTGCTTCGATGCGTCCATTGCTCCCGGCCCAACCTACAGCTACGATGTCTCTACGCTTCATCCCCAGGATTCTTAGGCATATCAACAATTTTATGGTGGGGATCATCCCCGAGTGGGAGAACTCCTTATAAGGAATAAGGACATTCCTTATGAGGATTTGTAAACATATTTCTAAGTTTAAGGTCCTCTCAAGACAGCCGACACTTAAAAATATTTTTACAAGTTCTGACCTGTACCTGAAATGATAGAAGGGAAACTAACAAGTCATGAGCAACAACCACTTTTGTAATATCTTTATTAAAATTAAACGTACAGAGAACTTATAATCACAACATGAGAATAACAAAGTAGAGGTCGCCTTTTTGTCGGGACAGACATATACTCGTAACTAGTTACAGAAGAAAACACGAAGCACTAACAAATGTAATCAAACTTTCCGGACAGAATATGCAAAACCAATATACAGGGTGTTGCAAAAAGAAAATTCGATTATTTAAAAAAATCAAAGTACAAGTAGGAAAACATATATCATGCCTGATTTTAAGGGACATAAGGAATTAATATACAGGATGTTTCACACAAATAATATTATTTAAAAAATCTTAAATAATAAATAAATAAGACGATAACATACATCTTAACCACTATCCACGGGAAACTGATATACAGGGTGTATCTAAACAAGAACAACTACATATTAGAATACATAAACTTCCAAACTCTACAAATGAAGCCAATTTTCCACTTGGGAGGAAAGCACATATACAGGGTGTTGTATAAAATCAAAGTTCAAGCAAGGGACACTCTTTAAAACAATACTCAGTTAATTTCAACATGCTTCCAAAAGAAAATTCCAACAATAAACTTAACAGGATTTTCGTAAGATGGAAAGTAATATACAGGGTGTTGCAAAAAGAAAAAACAGATATTTAAGACAGAAAATATTGGAATCCAAAAGAAAATAGTCAAAAGTTGATTGCAAATCAAGGAAAACAAATATACATGGTGTAAACTAAAAGGAAATGACAATATTTAAACAGAAAATGCTCAGGTCAAGCAAAAATATCAGGAAATAAATAAGGTTGGTCAATTTTGATCAGGCAGCAGGAAAATGGAATATATAGGGTGACCCAAAAGAAAATTACTACAAAAATAACAAAACTCAAAATTCTCGAAAGATAACATCTATCAAATAAAAATGTTATAATTTTCACAATGTATATCGAAGAAAAATGCAAGAGAAGGCGACACAACAAAAATACCACTACATTCAGGAAGTAAATACTAAAGCGCAAGAACTACATGAAATTTTAAATTGTTGCCTGATAAGGTAAGAGAACAATAGAATTCAACACCATTATAAATTTTATTGCAAAATTAAGATTTAAATTGCGACGCAATCGCCAGATAAAGTGCCAGCCGACGGCACGCACACGCAGTAGGAAACATTGAAATCGCATATTGTAAATATTTTACGGGCAGTGATTCATTGTCAAACTACTAAACACATCAACACGATTAGAGAATAAAGATTGCAAACACACATAAAAATGTGAAATGAAAAGGAATGGTGAAACAAACTTTCTGTAACGGGACCCAAAATGCATCTGACGGCACGCGACAATTTAAAGTTATAACAATACACCTATCTACTACACGCAATTAAAGAGCAAAATGTAAAATGATGTAATAATATTTACAAACTTCCTCCCGCATCAGGTAATCTAGGGCTGAAACCAAAAAAACACATGTGTTAGAACACTACCTCGCGTACTATTTAAGTCCGTCCTGTCGGATACTACACTTGCATTACAAGCGATATTGCAATATAACAGAAAACGTAACATTCTAACAAGGACAGATGTTGATTACACGTTCTGGTAATTGGCAGAAATATAACTAATTTTAATTTCCATTCGCAGCACCGAACTAATCCAATGGCAGACGGAACATTAACACAAATGAAGACACAAATTATGTAAATGTTCAGCGCACAAATGAATAGCAAAATCGAGTGCACACGTATTAGCATTAGATGTTGATTTTAGTACATAAAACGTAATGCAATTCACTGAATCAAATAAATAGAAGAAAGATGGGCCGCGCGCTGATAGGAACAAACTAAAACGATCGAACGTTTGAAGCGTGCGTGCACTTAGCATGGAACTGCTTCAATGCGATAAGAAGTTGTTTATACACAAACCGCGATAAACAAGTAGAGTAGGAAATGCAACATTAAGATGGGTAAATCTAATTCTGCATTATTGACCAAACATCCACAAATTATTTATCTAAATTCTGCATCTGAGTAAATTATTCAAAAGTGATCGAAACACCGCATTCGGGTATTATTCCAAAATACTACAATTTCTAGCACTTTGAGAAATTCTCCCGCAATAAATTCAAATACAACGAGATAAAGAATTAAATTCTGCATATGGGAAAATTATTCCGAAGTTAGTGAGATACCGCATTCGCGTGTTATTCTAAAAAAAAAACTACAATTTCTAGCGCAATGAATACTAGTGCGCATACACACAATTTTCAATATAACTCGGGTTACGGAATTATCTCGCAATAAATTCAAATACAAGGCGATAAAGAATTACATTCTGCATCTAGGAAATGTTACTGAGACACAGTGTTCGCGTGTTATTCCGAAAAAACTACAATTTCTAACGCAACGAGTTGGCCTAGGCAATCACCCTTGTACTGCACTGAATACGAGTTATTCTTACCGCTACCCACGTACGGTACCCTGAATACGAGTCACTTCTACCGCTGTCCTCGTATGGTGTCCTGAATACGAATCACTTCTACCGCTACCCTCGTACGGTGCCCTGAATACGAGTCACTTCTACCGCTACCCTCGTACGGCGCCCTGAATACAAGTCACTTCTACCGTTACCCTCGTACGGTGCCCTGAATACGAGTCACTCCTACCACTACCCTCGTATGGTGCGATGAATAAGGGTCACCTGTGCACTCACACGTCATATGTCACGATACTTCCGATATAATCAAATGCAAATTGGTGAAAGATTTAGATTCGTCAGTTTTTATAAAAAACTACAATTTCTAGCGCAAGGAGTACTAGTGGGCGCCCATACAAATTTCAATATAAGTCGCGTAAATATATTGAATAACTATCTGTATTTTCCGCACAACGCGACATCATCCGCGAGTAACACGAATGAACTAATCATCCAACGGCACTAAAGTAAACAATTCATTCAAAGGACAAACATAAGCAGAATAATACAGAGCATACAGACAATACCTACATGTAAACATTGCATTCCTTCTCAACAATATATCGCATAAATTAAACAAATTATTAATTTGCCTAATTAATCCTTATTATTTTATACAATTTTCATTTTCTGGATGAATGTACTCTACACAATGCGACTGGGAAATTAATTTAGAATACAAATACTATGATTTAATTGATTCACTTACTTGTGTTGTGTTTCTATTGACGAAAAAGAGAGTTGAACAAGTCTAGAATGTAATGCATATGTATTTTAATCACTATTATTGAAAATCACAAAATATGTTATCAACGTTCAACGTTCGACGGCATCTCACTATCGGAAACACGCATGCAGTTAACACAATAAATTGATGTATAAATTGTAGCAATTATAAGTATAAATTGATTATCGTTTAAAATGATCCTTTTTCTATAACAACAAAAAAAGAATACCCCAATAACGCATACCGTTCCCGAGATATGAACCAATTTCCACAACAAAACATGAAAAATATTGAAAATTGCATAATTTTGAAGCAAATTTTGAGACTGTTCCCGGGCGAATTCCGGGGGTATCAAATGTGTATTGTATAAAATGATTCTCCTTCTACAATAACCAAAAAAGAACAACCCAAGAAAACATACAGTTTCCGAGATATGAGCCAATTTCCACGACACAACATGAAAAATATGGAAAATAGCCTAATTTTGATGCCAGTTCTGAGGGTGTTCCCGGGCAAATTTCGGGCCTTCCAAACGTGTATCGTTTGAAATGACTCTTCTTCTATAACAACAAAAATAACACCCCATTAACACAAACCGTTCCCGAGATATGAGCCTATTTCAACGATGAAACATAAAAAATACTGAAAATTGACTAATTTTGAAGCCAATTTTGAAAGTGTTCCCGGCCGAATATTAGGGGTTGTCAAATGCGTATCGTTTAAAATGATTCTTCTACAAGACAAAAAAGGACACCGTAATAATGCAAACCGTTCCCGAGATATGACCCAATTTCCAATACGAAACACTAAATACTAAATGTTGAAGTTTGTAGAGCAATTTTGAATCATTCTGGGTACAATTTTGAGAAGCGGCGAAAACGTTACCTGTATTTTCTTGCATCGTGTTCAATACAATAATCCTTAAATTGTAGGTTATGCGTTAGCCGTCGGGCGGCGGCAGGTCACACACGCGTCTGGAACACGCTTGAGAACACACACAAACGAAAAAATAACGAAGACTCGATACACTTTTGTAACCACTAAATACAGGCGGTATGCTATTACATTAGAGACCCAATTAACGAAGTAAATTAAATGCACAAGCAACGTGGCGAGTTGAAGTGCAGAACATAGACCAGCCGACGGTAAAAATAAACTGACCTCTTATCATGTAAGAATGTACCTGCGTGTGCCCAAAGAGAAAGTAACAAGCGCACGTCAAGGCGGAGTGGGCACAACGTATACAAAGATAAGACACTATACATACAAGGCTAATCTATGAACGCGACGTATTGTACAATAAATAACCGAAATACTGAATTTTGGTACACCTAGCGCAGTCTAGGGACAATATTTTTAAATGGATAATAGTATTAGGTACAAACAGAAAAAAAAGTGGAATAAAATAATTATTTTGAACTATGTCATTGTATTTATGTTGTGAAAATTATTAATATATGTATAAATACATAACATGTTAATTAGTATAGTTCAAGTAACAAGATGGTTAATCAACCATGGAAGGATTGGATTTACAATGATCAAACTACCTACCCCACAATAATTTGTTAGTTGGATAAAATGTGATCAAAATTGCCTACAATATATGAAACGACAATTCGAAAGTCAAATCCGCGAACAAGAAACATTTCTTGATGTACATATCAAATACTGGCACGGCAAATATCACCTGTTAGATTCATACCCGTCTTGGTGCTCACTCTTCAATCTATTAAGTCCCAATCTACCTCTCGCTCGACTTAATTCCCCGTTTAGGTAATCGTCAAACAACCTTGGCCTTCAGTACATTTTCATTGAAGTGCCCAACCACATTGCCCCTAGGATTATAATTGGCGACCACGTACGTCTCACCTTTGCTGTTTTTCGCCAGAGCAATACCCATTTCACTGGTTTCCTTCCACACCAACTGCGTGAAATGCAGCGTGTTCATATTCACGCACTCCAAGCCAAAGATATGATGCCGTTTTTGTGCGTACCACGTACTGACTACATCTTTGGCGCATGGCGTAAAGCTAAAATCAGACGAATACACCATGTAGGTATTCTCACCATATTCGTTTTTCGGCCGATGCGACATTCCATGAAACGCACAGTGTTGCGCCCACTCCAGAGCGAAAATACTCAATTGTTTATTCAATGTCAACGGCGGAGCATTGTGTTTCTTGCGATATTCATTGTGATACTTGAGCGCTTCAAGTTGAAACTGATCAAAACCAATTTCATCCCCAAAACTAACTCGCTCCTGATCCGGAGTCGCAAGACTACCAGCTGGGAGAACACTCTCCGCAAAATGGCCGACGAAATTACCAGCCGGGCTGTAATTTGCCACAATATACGTATAGCCATTGCGGGTGGCAACGCCAACGCCCAGTTTTTCACTGGTTTTCCACACAACTTGTGAAAAATGTCCCGTGGATAAATTGCTAGGTTCACGACCAAAAGGATGCGCCTGGTGCTCCTCATACCAGGAGTCCACCGGCATGTTACCAGAGATGACAAAGTTCGGATCGGCATTATGAATACAGAAAATATTCTCACCATAGGGATTATTCTTGCGATGTTCCATTATACCACGTTCAGCACACATCTTTGCCCATTCTTCGCTAAACCTACACAAGTTAGCGTCCAACTCAAGCGGGCGTGCGCCATGTAACATGCGATATTTATTATGTGCGTCTAAAATGGCGGCATTGAAGCTACTCTTCGCCGTCTTGGAAATGTTCAGCGTCGATATGCAATTGTTGTTGTTAATGTTCGTCACAAGTGGTGGGACGTTTTCGACAAACGACCCAATGATATTCCCCGGAGGATAATACTGTGCGACAACGACGAGTTTACCCTTCGCGGCAACAAACGCCACGCCAAGTTCTTGGCTCTCCTTCCATACTACTTGCGTAAAATGTCCCGTTGATAGAAGTGTTGGTTCCTTGGTAAAGTCATGCTTCTTCACTTCGCGGTACCACATGTCAACCGGCTCACTTCCTTTGATATCAGTATTCGGATTGAGGGACGGTGACGAAATAAAGTAGATATTTTCACCGTATTTCTTGTTGCTGCTGTGTTGTAGATTATTCTTTTTGAGCAAAAAAGTAGCATGATCTAGGCAGCTCTTACACATTTGTTTGTTCAATTTCAAAGGCGTCACACCATGTCTCCGTCTGTACATGTTATGATCTTGTAGACATTCGGTTTGAAATTGTTCGAGAGTTTTAGCCTGTAAATTCTACCAAAACATTATATTAATAAAAATGAAATAAAATAATATAATAAAATATTTTTTGCTTACTTTTGAAGTTTTTACTGGGGTACCCCGCCTGGACCTATCCGCTTTCTCAGCTAAGGTCTCCACCAAATCAGGCGGTACCGTCTCCTCTCTATTCTTCTTCTCAGTGGTAATCTTGCAAGCAGTGCGTTGTCCCCTAAAAGTCTCAATGGTTTCCCTCGTAACAGTTTCCAACATAGGTTCCTTTCCGTTCTGTATGGACGCAAATGTCCTCTGATCGGTTTTGCGCACCATGACAATCCTGCTGGATCCATCATGACCGTGTGCAGTGCGTCGAAACCGGTGCAGGTCAGTCAACGAGCCGGGAAAGTTTGACTTTCTGCTTTCCACAGACGACAGCGAATTAGTAGATCCCGCATGATCGTATATTTCAAGCGACATTTGGAGAAATGTTTAAAACGCGGATTTAAAAATCTAAAACAAACAAACAAAACAAACAACACGCGTTGTGCTGTTCGAGTTGCGGCGCGTTACTAACTGTGCCGAACAGTAATTTCTAATGCTCCTCCTGTTCAGCAATCGACATTGTTCCGTATTGTTAACCAACTGTGACAAAATCGGCGATGCGCTTCCAGTTGATCACGAAACCGGCTACCAAACAACGCGCGCCGGCCAAACCGGATGTTGCCCGAAAGCATTACGATAATCTATTATAAATTACAGCGTTGGTTAGGCGATTGAACTTGTTTACGCGAACGCCCGGTGGCAATCCGGCAAAATACGGTAATTTCGATTCCAGGTAAATATTTCTCCAAACGACACGTGCGTGTAAAAACTCACCTCGGTGATTTCGTAGTCATCTTTATTTCGTCAGAAGTAAACCGCAAGCAAGCGAAGAACCCATCACAAAAGCCGGCGGTACAGATGTGAGGCGGCGTCCACCGACGGTGTTTTCTTTATGCCGCCCCTCAGAAACGCGCAGGGGTGATGTTGCCGCCGCGTGCGCGCTTGATCATGCGCCGTGCGTCACCAATCGATTACTACACTTTTAAAATCAGATCAGGAAATACTTGATAATAAATTATTATCAATTATTTAATCTCCCACGTGTAAATACACAATATTTACTTTGACACGCCACCGCCAGCTACCTTCCAACTGATTCCGAGCAATTGTACGGATCGATGCTGACGAATCTGACAAAAGTCCGCCGTGCAATGCACCATCGCACATTAATTGTGCGCTGTTATCATCGAATGACCTTAAAATTGTGGCACGTATATTTACCGGCACGAACCATAGACGTATGAATTAAATCTAGGTACGTGGTGTGTGCGACATCGCCGAACAGCGCGAACAAATAAACAAACAATGCCGTTTCGTCATCGACCAGCGTAGAAAAAAACCTCCGATTACGAAACGTTGTTTGCAGTTGACACGAAACTGTGTTTATCGGCAATGTTCTGAAAATGAAATTACAACAACGCGCTAAGTGTATAGTTTTTTTTTTATTGGATTACATCACGAATAGTTACGAGTTGCGGCGGCAGCGACAATCGAATTGATTGTGGGCACGCCGCCGGTTCCGGCGCATTGCATGCGTTGATTATTCGCATATAATCGTTCAAGTGCAAGGACAAGGCCGAGGATAAAAATATTCATCGGAAATTACACCCCCCTAAGTGCGCCCACAAAAGTTTCTCCTCGTTTCCGTTCCAGCGCGAAAATAAACGAGAATTCGAAACAGTTAAACACACACATAAACACTAAACTAAAACACTTATAGGCATTAGTTGAAGCGCGTCTAATTGGTAAAGCAAGAAAAACTAGGCGCGCGTAAATGAGCTAAGGAATATTCGGCGCACGTCAGAAAAGAAACTGCACCACGCCGTTTTACATGTAGAAATGCGCACGTGATAATGAACTGTTACGCTATGCACCAGTGCGCACCGTTTACAGCGTTAGAACATGACCATTCATTTTCCAAAACAGCAATCAATAGGCTCTGATATGAAAAACATAAACAATCTTCCTTAATATATTTACAAGCAAATTAAATTAATTCAGGAGAAAAAAAAACGAGGTCGAAAGCGTAATACAAGTTTTGAAGTTTAAACTCACCTCAAATGAGGTGTGTTGCCTTTGACATTGAGAGGTGAGATTGATTAAATCATCTTAAATAACTATGAGCCATACACAGACGCATACGTCTCCGCGTTCAATGCGATAATCTAAAGTGCCGGTTGCGTTGCTTCAACCAATTTCATCGCATAATTTTTGCCTTTAAAATCATTAAGAATATAAAAATGATGTAACAAAAATAAAGAAAACACAACTGACCTGTAGAATTAAAAATATCTTTACACGAAACACAGCCTCGACTTTCGAAATCCTTCCGCACCAAAAGATAACCTGCAAAACTTCCTGGATGACTTCCTTCTATGCGTTTTCACGCACCGCTTCCATCATACAGCATGCAATCGTGCAGTGCGCTTGCAACATCAACACCTCTTCGCTCGATCATAGCACTCTCCATCAGTTAAAATTTCAGCGATGCAAACGCTGCAGTAATTTTACTCGCCAGTCTGTTGCGGCATTTTCAACAGCAAATAACACGTGCGCAATACGTAACTGCGCCATGGCTGCCAAATAATGCATATTGTAATCGTTAGCGTAAGCAAGCGAGCTATTCAACAAACCCATTACACCGGGAATGGCGGCGTTGGGGAAATTCACGCTATTTGCAATATCCGGAGAGGAGGACTACTGCCCTAACTTGCATTATCCATCCCTTTCACATGACTATTATTATCTCTACACTCATCCAGAATCCGATTGCAGTATTGATGCGCTTCCGAATAATCGCCAGTGTGAAGATAAAGTTGTGCGAAACACAGATAACTCTCCCATTTATCTACGACCGCGACTTTCGCAGCTATAGAAGCCGCAGCAGTTGGTTTTTCGTTGTATAACAAGCGATAAAAGTGAAAAACATTTCGGCAAAACATCACAGAGTGATTCATGGGTTCATTGGGAAAACGCTCTTCGGCATGCGAAAGAATAGTATTACTGAGGGCATACTCGCCTTCCTGATGCATTAATCCTGCCATGTTACACAGAGCCTGCACGTAACTCTCACCGTAGTATGTTTTGTTTACCAGGAGACTATCGGTGTTCAAATAGAGCAGAAGTTGACTCCACAATGACGACATTTCAGTTTTACCGTAAAACAACCACAGTCCTGCTTTCAATCCGTAGTTTGTTGCGATTAGGTCACCGTGACCATGTTCGGAGTTAATAATATCACTTCGAGTTAACGACTAGTTAAAAAACAATAAAAGAAACACAACATTTTCAATGGAAGCAAATAAAAATAAATTATACTTACATCTAGAACTATTTGTGGATGTGCTGTAGATAATCCACAGAATTTCACAAATGATTGAATTCCTAGAGACATTACATACGACAAATTTAAGTCAACGTATTTTATGGCTGATTGTTCAGCGATTAGTTTATGCTGGTTACTTGTAAGACATCGTAACCATGATAAAGCATGTTGAAGGCATTGATTATCGCTGCTTTCCTGCGCCATTTTGATGGATTCCTTCAAAGCTAAAAGTCCTTCTTGTCTACAATACAATTTATTAATTTTTTTTAATTTAATTTTAAAAGAATATATTTACTTATGACCAAATTGACATTGTAAAATCGCTAAATTCAACGCAGCATATCGATATGTCTTGGTTCTTGCATCGGCATTCGCTTTATCATTGTTTGCAGACTTATCAAAGCAATGATACAGTGAATCAATGGCCCCACAATATTCTTTTACTCTTAAATAATTTAAATAGTTTAGGAAATGCTAAAAATTAAGTTGTTTAGTGCGTAAATTTTATATTTTTGTAAATTTTACTCACTGCAGCTGAAAGATCTGGATTACTTTTTAGTAAACTTTTGATATATTTGTGTAATTCATTCGGGGATAATGCTTTGCCTTCGTTATTGGCAATAAGTGCACTTTGTGTGGCAATAAACAATTCGGCTTGCCTTTGGGTCCAATCACGGTTTAAGTTTTGATTGAAAGTTGAATTTTTTGAAGAATCAAGTGCACAATGTGGCTGTTCTAAAGTACCATTGATAAAAGGGCCGCAATAAGATTTATAAGATTCGAAAAATATTGAGATTTCAGAAAATGATAACTTATCAAAGTTAAGAACTAAACGGCGCAAATAACAACCTAAAATATAAATTATTAATATTTTTTGTTTGATTTCATGTTTTTTCGTTGTTTTATTACCAACTACACTGTTTTTCCCAATAACACCAACTTTAATAGCCCCCAATTGATTATCCAACTGCATTAACTGTACAATATTATCAACAGCATCCTGCAGTGCCCCAATACCACTGATTAAATTCTTTATAGTGGCTAGAAAACTCTCTAGAAACTGATCTTTGCAGAGTGAGTATTCAACTTGTGAAATGAGATTGTGCAGCTCAGCAAAGGTAAGATCTGGGCTTTGAATTAGTTTTAATATAAGCAGACAAAACTCGCAAATAAACGCACGACGTTGTGTGCAAAACACTGAAATTTTAACGATTTTTCTATCAAATATTTAAAATATGAGATTATATAGCACAGTACCTGCAAATTCTCTCACTTTGTAGAATTCCATCGTTAAGATGCCAACCGTGAGGCGATGCGGTGTTAACACTTCTTTATTCTGCTTCTTTGGAATGAAATTAGCACCAGCATTGTCTTTTATTGTAGACATTTTTGTTAGTAACCGGTGAAGTCAACGAAACCACTTGTGGGTTAGCGTAGTATCATAGATAACCTTTAAAACTGTACAATAACAAGCCGAACAAAATACAATTTGTCAGTTGATGTTATGCAACTTAATATACAGGACACATGTTTATAGCAATAAAATACAACTATAGCCATACATTGTTAAATAAATAACAGATTTGCTTAAATTGTAAAATTATATTTATTTCTTAGTAATTTTGAGCAGTTTAATATCCCTGCTGGAAAATTCCATATGTTGTTGAGAAGTTGGAATTTCTTCAACATTAAATTCCATTTGTAATTGTTGTAAATAACAATTCCAAATCTCTTTTTGTTTATCAGTATCTCTTATCTCTTGGCTCTGAATTATTTCAGTGCTATCACCACACAGCTCCACTAATGTTTGTGTCAAAGATTTAATTGACTAAAACATACATTATTAACTATTGTAACTGTTAAAAATGTTATAAAACAAATTACCTTTGAATAATATACACAATCAGATAAAATTATAAGTTGATAGTCATTGGCACTGATATCTAATTTATCAGACCAGTTTAAAACTCTGGCAGTGACTGATCCCTGAGATGAATTAATTGTATCTCTGTTGAAGGCAATGTTATCATTCAATATAGTTAGTGTTTCAGGCAGGTCAGTTAGTGTAACATTTGCACTAAAAGAGGAAAATAATTATAATTTTTATCCTGTAAAGTTAATAAAATGTTTTTTATACCCTAATAATGCAGCAGTCAATCCCACACATCCAACACCAGATCCCAACTCTATAACTTTCACATCTACTAAAAAATTTGGATGTTTCAAGTTGTACACTTCGAGATATTTAGCTAAAACTATGGATGCATCCCACACAATACAATTCACATCTCCAACTGACTTCTGATGTAGTTTTAGAGTGTGTAGTTGAGTATCACTTGAATTAATCTCCAATTCACGCACAAAATAATCAGAATCGCAAGGCATGACTTAAAATAATCTCTGGTTAACACTACCTAACTTAAGTCACTAAGTAAAATAAAGGAATATCTAAAATAGAAGTGAACACGTTCACGGCCAATAAGCAACTGAGAAGAATATAACCTGAACGCATCTTATATCTATAAAAAAAAAACAGGTTGTATGCGCAATGCAAACAATAAAAGTCTATTTTTTGTATAAGTATTCTATCGACTATTGATATACAACATTACAACAGAATAAGTAAACTTAAACACCTAGAAGAAACAAAATGACAAGTTTATATAAATTTGTCAATGATTTATACTTACAGAAAGTACAAATTCATTTGAAAAGACACTATAGTAGTTACCCATTGGCAATACAAATCTATTTGTGGAATTAATATTCATTATCATAAGAAATCTGACAGTTACAACGTCCCCATCCCATGGACATGCATAAAAAGTCGTATGTCGTAAATCTTCACCCTAAAATATAATTTATTTTCCTTACCTCTGTAGAAAGATTTTAAATTTGACGATATTTACAAATTTAACAACTTTTTCACCAATCGCACCAGTAATAAGAGTCCCAAAAAGGTAACAAATAGAAATACCAAATGTATTAACATCAAATTTCTGAAAAAAATCATGTTTACAAGATAAAAACGTAAAATTTTAGTGTTGTACTTACAATTAACGTTGTTATTACACAAAAAGCCAGTGTAACTCCAGCTATGAATGTGTGTAACAACAGAGACCATTTGAACATTTCACTTACAATCACCCATATCCTACAAGAGATAAAAAGTAGATGATATATAAGTTACCTTATAAGAGAACATATAGATTTGCTGTCTGTAGGCGAGTATAAGTTTCTGTTTTCGTTGCCATGAATTCTCTGTACGTTTAATATCATCCAAAGTCAAGCAAATAACTTGTAGAAACGTGTCTAGATACGTTGTGATACTGAGTAACGTCACAACACATGTTAAAGTCCCTAAACCTAATATAAATATACAATATCCTGTGAGAATGTTGTATACAACTCGACATAGACTACTAATCGCTATAAAGAAGTACTAAAACATAATATTATAACTTTCAGTCAACATTAATACTTATTAAATATTTCCTACGCTTGGAATAACATAATGACAAGCATATATGTTATCAATGCGGCAAATGTTGAATTCAACATAGATTATCCCTGGCACAAAGATCAACGTGCTATAAACCAGCGCCATTTTGGCTTGGCAGTTGTTCCACTCGAATTGTTGTCGCACTATCTTACTATTTATGTCTAAATATGGATTGGTGACAAGTAACTCACACATATCATCGAAATTTGGTTTATGTTTTCTTATCCAGTACGCAATTACATTGGCATGAGCAAGCATTAAGGATATATTTAAAGAAATTTCGGTAATAGATCCGCCATTTTGAAACTCATGTATTAAATAGTTAACACTGCCGAAGTAATAAGTGATTGTGGATGTGTAGAAAATAATGTCGATGATTATATGATTATGAAAATGGACTAATTTTAGTACTTTTGATGGTAAAAGGATATTTGTTAAATAAATTGTTGGGTCAGCCATGTTCTTCACCTTTTTATGTACTGGCAACCTCGAATAATGCATTTCAGATTAGATTAAAGTTAATTTATAGTTGATTGATTTATAATTGAGTTAGTTTTGTGTACATAGCAGTTAAACATGTTAAAAAGAAGTATTTGTCTTGAAAGAATGATGAAAGGTATTGAAAGACACACGTTTTGATATAAATTTTAATAAACCATGTCGATTCTAAAGGAAAATCAATGAAAAAGAATGCTGAGGTGGAACAACATATATAATTTCTGTACATTATGTAGCATAAACATATAAAAACATTCTTTGGCAAAATTATATACAAATAAAACATAACAGTTGTGTACAATACTTAAAGGACAATAACACATCAATCATTTTTAATCGGCGGTTGATGCAGACGGAAACGCAGAAGATGCTCGAAATGAAAACAAACCCTCAAAACGGTACAAAAATTACAAAAAACGACATAGAAACTTCTGTTCACAGTGTTCACATCCGTTATATATGCATATAAGTATCCATTAATTACTTACGATTTAGGTAATACTCATTGTGGTCACTTTCTTTTCGAATTAGTCTAGATATAGTTACTGTATGAATGAGTTATCAGTTATCAGTGCAGGAATTGACATCGCGGTTACGTGGGCATGACACTAATGACACAAATTCTTCCTTCTCCTCTTCTTGTCCCCTAATATTTAACTAAGTACGTGTGTGCTAAGAGATTCAGAGAATCAACCGAAACAGAATGTGAAATACATTTTGCACTAAGTATTGTAACGACCTTGTACTTGTACTATTCAACTCCATGCGGAGTCATTAATAAATAAAGTAGAATTAAGTTAAAAATAAATCCATGTACAAGATATTGCAGATACAGATTGTTTGTTTAGATGACGCTCGACGTCACTTTTTCTAGGGGCGGAAGCGCTTGGCTTCCGCGTCGACGTGGCAGTGTACCGGAACCGGGCACCACCGCCACGTCCTGACAGCCGCATGCTGCCAACAGGTCTATGAGATTATTGCAGGCAACTACTTGATTATCACTGGTCACAACACTGCCGATTTTTTGTTGCTTCGCCGTGGCTATGCTCAGCGCTGCGCGTGCATACGTCAGACATGTTCGGCCATCTTCATCCGTGGCTTTCACGTTCGCATGATGCTATATATAAAATTTAAACAAAACAATTACATTTTACATAAAAACACAACATTTATTTACTTACCCAGATTAATAACTGTGCCACAGCTAAGTTACCCATTGCACACGCGAGATGAAGAGGACTTCGTAGATCATTAGGCCCCACAGTGGAATTCACATGCTCAGCACTGGCTTGCGCAAGGACCTGCAGGATATTTTTAATATTCGAGGCGCATACCGCGTCAATCAGTTGTTTATCCAATGGCATCATGTTGCATGTAGGCGGAAGAAACTCTTTCGCTTCGTACTTCAACCGAATCCACTGCTCCTTCTCTTCTCGACTAGTATTCGGGGCTGGTTTGATGTTAAGCTGGGTCCTAGCTTCAAATATTGAGTTTGCCAATGCGTTACCAATCGCTAACATTACACTCAAATGACCAGGACTGCAATAAAGTCAAAATAAACACTGATTTGCTTTGAAAATACACAAATAAAAAAAACTTACGGCCATTCGTCTAGATTTAACGATCGAACCTTGGAAATATGTGATCCCATATTCCGATGAATTCCCGAACATTCAATGCACATCAGAATGCCCAGGTTAAGACTAGCCCAATCAGGATCTATAAAGTATTTAATATTTAATAATAATTTACTTTGTTTTGAAAAAGATTCTTACTTGGTGCATCGCAGTCGACACACAAATCATTGCCTGGTACCCGCGAGCGAATGTTTTGAATATTCGCCGCCTCCATCGGATTCTGCTTCTTCGTCTTCGACGACTCGTTGAGCTGCAACGACTTGAGAATCTGCTCCTCGATGGCCGTCACCCATTGATCGCGCTCCTCACAACTGGACGCCTCAAAGTTCCACTGTTTATTATCCAAAGAAACAATGCAAAACTCATAGCCGTCGGCGTCATCATATTCGGAATTCTTCACACCGCTGCTCTTCATGCGACGATGCCGCTTCTTGACGTTCGGGGTTTCGGATTTCAGATTCTCACCATTCATATAGGTGTTACTGTTGAAGCCTTCATCACCGCTGGCTTGAGTGTACTTGCCGGGCTCCTTGACGGTGTCATATCCTGTTAGCAACACATTTTCAGTGATTCTTTTGTCCCTTGAACCTAATTCAAATAAATTAAAACTTTTTCCGAAGAATATATAATCTGATTAAACTTACCAATTGATAATCCCCCAAGGCTTTCATTAATACTGCTGCCGTTCGTGCCGGCGACAGTGATTATACTCTTCGAGCCGCGCGGCTTTTGTCCTGGCACTTTCACCGTCACATATTGAAGTGGTATCTCTTTACCGTGCACATCGTCCATGTAATCATGCAGACTCGGATGGTAAGTGAGGATACCATCGTTACACAGCGTCACATACTTCTTCTTCCACTCCTTGTTCAAGGGCTTACTACTCTTTTTATAGAGATATCCTTGTTTGAGTGGTATCGCCCTGCCAACACCAATATCACCCCCGTTCTTCAACTTATCGTCGGCTTTTTTCGACGGGGTGAAGAGATTCGAGCGCCGACGGCTCTTACGCGACGTCGTCGGAGTGGAGCTGGGTGTTGGCAGGTCCTTATCCTTGATAACCGGCGTCTGGTTATTGTCTAGCGGATGCGGGGCGGTGAACTTTGCAATGTTATTGTTTTCCGTCGGTATGGCTTGCATGACCAGCGCCTGTGACGAACCGTGGCTGCCTAGGGTAGAAGAAGAAGAGTTCCACTTCTCTTCGGAGTTGCGGAAAAGTCCGTCGTGTTTATCGGCCGCACGGTGTAGATGGTGACTTGATGCGGATAATGTGTGCACCTGCCTGCCACCCAACTGAGACAATGCGACCGATTCCTAAATTGAAATTTATTATTATGAGATTTATCGCAATCTCAGCGAATATCTAAAGTACCAACCTTATGTGATAGAGTGTGATTGTGACTAGGGGACATGTGGTTCGCAGCGGGTGATTGTCCTACATTGCTGAAGCCATTATTACTAGAGAGATGATATCGAGGAGCTGTGGCCAGCGGCCCGCCGGCGGTGTGGAAATGATTGTTAGGCGTCGAGGGGCGAGAATTCGTCGGAGTCAAGCATGCCGCCGATGTGGTCAATCGTTGCTGCACAATTTTCTGACAAGCTAAGAGAATATAAGCGAAAAAAATCAAATTAATAAACATCTGACACAATTGCAGGGCTGTCTAGAACTAAGCGTTAGATTTGCATTCATGACACCATACAAGTTTAAAAAGGAAATGACCCAAGTGATGCAGTAATCGAACAGGAGATAGATGACTCACCATCTTGAAAGACACGCTCGACGTTCAAGCCGTACGTGGCGCAGGTTTCGTAATAGGTACACCTCTTCAGGTCATTGGCCAATTTGCGCGCTCGCGAATCATCAATGACACGTGGATTGTTCTCGCTGATAGCATCTGCAAAAGGCAAAACTTTCGTTATAAAATGTATGCAACGTTATCTGCGTTATTCTCTATATAAGCAAACTTCATTTGCATTGTGCGAAAATGGAAACTCGAAACTCGAAATGGAAACAATACAGACGCTCTGCTATTATATTATTAATAATTCAAAACGTGCTGAATCAATACACATACAATGTAAACTTGGCGATTGGAATTAAAATATCAAACAAAAGACTTACCTTGAGTGCCCACCAAAATTAATGGTATCTCGGCCGAGTTTCGGAACTGTGACATCTTTGTATAGTAATTATAAATGGCATTGAAGGAGGATTCGTTCTCCAAACTGAATACGAATATCACCGCGTCCACCCAAGCAGTAAACTGTAAAAAAAGAATCAAATTTAAATCTAATTTTTTTCAATGCGAGAAAAAAAAATGGTTTACCAGGTATAAAAATACAAATCACGCAGCAAACCGCTCAATCCTTTCCGACGACGCGGCGGGAAAGGCACTGACTGAACAACACGCCGAGTCACACGGACGACACGAAAGGACGAAACGCGCGCGCTGACAGAGAAGGGCGCCGCGACGTCGGGCCCTTCTTATCTCTCGCTCTATCGACGCGCGCCCCTTTTCAATGCGAAAACGTGCACGAAGGGCCTTGCTTTTTGCGATATGATAATCAATACCAGAAAACACACGCAAATTTAACGCGAAATCGACATACAAATATAAATACTTAACGCCAATGGTGGAGGCGCCAAGGTGGCGCGGCGTCGCGGCGCCACACGCACATTATACAATTTACAAACTAATCACCTAATCGCATCACGCACGCAACACTTACCTGCAACTCAGGTGGCCCGCCCTCATCGCGGATTAACAGCAGGTAACTCTGATTGTCCACCAGGATCTCCTTCTTGAATCGGCCGCCTTCGGGCGATTCCTCTTGCATGTAACTGCCGGTGAGATAACGATGTACCAGCGCCGATTTCCCCGACGATAGCGAACCGACGATTCCCAGTCGGAGATCCGGGACAGAGCGTGATAACGTCCATTCTTGACTGTTCACAAACGAATCTGCAATACAGAAAAATACGGAAAAGTTAATAAGTGCCATGTGGTATTGTCCGGTACAAACAGTTAAAGATGAATATCTCGAAAAGACGATTAATAATCATGTCTCACGTGGAATAAAGTGGAAATAAGTGTCGCCCGAAGGTGTGCAGCACACGCCCCGCTTTACTTCCATTGCGTATCGATGGTAAAACAGCACGCGCATGGAAATTAAAGTGTCATCATCATCAAAGACGCACGGAGCGTTAAATTTGAAGCGGCATAAGTAGCACACCATTGTCTTCTTCACTACCAGTACATGTGTAAAATATTCAACTTGCGAGTGGAATATTGATGAGTTCGGACAGGATGTAGATAAATTCATGCTGGGAATGATTAATTGCTGTAAACTTTAGCGTAGACCACGAAAAAATGAGTTGTAATTATTGGCAAAATCGTGACCATTGCGAATTGCAATTATATCAAGCGTGAAGAGTTCTGACACAAAGCTATGGACGATAATTACACGATTCTAACAGTAACGGTATTATTTTTGCGTTGATTTGTTGACCTGAATACACGTCCAAAGCAACAACCAGAGTAATATATCTTGTGATCATTGATAAGATACATGAGCAGCTGTACAAGTACCTCCTCGAAATCTCGAAGTTGGTTTGCAATCGAAGATGCTCTTATTACACAAGAGACAGGCCAACAATCAATCGATTTGTTGCTTAGTTATGCTCCACTTGTATGATAACATCTGCTGACGGCAAGTTTCGCTCAGTGGACCGAAAATTCAAGCTGCCAGGGTGAACTCCAATTTTTTCCTTCGTCTTTTGTGTTGTCTGCCATCTTTTGTTCGTCGACTATTGACGAGAATTCAACGCAACAACCACGGAAAATTACGTAAAACATAAATCATATTTTTCATATGATGTTTCATCTGAGGTCTACCTCAGTAAAAATTTTCCATCAAATGAATCTGTTAGAAAAAGTGCGCCGAAATGCGATGCAACCAAGTGTGAACAGAAAGGCTTACCTTGGCTTAGCACCAAGGTAATGGGACAGCTGTAGACTGCAATACCTCTACTAGATGTCTTCGTTGTTCTAGAGTTCTAGAGACCTCCAAGAATTGAAATTGAATGCGCAATGCACAAAAACTAGGGTAATTCATCATAGAACTTCCCGATGTAATATATCTTTGCAATGCACCCCTTTTATCGTCTGTTATTCCAAGGCAGACACTTTTAATCAAATTTCTTGCCGCGCGGCTAAAACAACATGCACGTTCTTCTTCTACCTGCATAGACCTGCAACCGGGGCCATTTCGCATGGGCGCTAGCAATTCAATTACACTTTTAAAACGTTACTGCATTATGCATATTATCATCGTGCAGGTAAGGCATCGCACAGATAAAAAAATCCAACTAAACCTTTTTTTTCTAACACTGAGAAAAGAAAAAAGGTTTAGGACTAAACTGTGGGTCCCAGAAGGGTTATTTCTTTCCTTTTTATTATTTCGATACCTTAGAACATAGAGTCTAAGTTTTTTTCGCTTCTAACAAGCAAAAAAACGTGCAATTTGATTTTTTAAATTTTTTTCGATGTGGTATTATCGACATTACCGCATATGTGTCATAAATTGCCTGAGGGAACATGTGCCAACTCGCGAGACCACCACACAATAGCGTACAAACAGCGGGCTGGGCGGTGTTAGGCGTGGAGAGCAACTTGAGACGCCGCCACACGCTCCATTAGACGCCTAATATGTAGAAACACACAATGCGAAGCGTCGATGTTTTTGAGTCGCCGCCGATGCGGTTTACCTTTCATACTACGTCGCGAGATCTCGCGCGGGCAGCCTTAAAGGAGTTGATTTGGTAATGCGTCCGGAAACCGCACTCCGGTTTCCGGGCGCCAGCTGGATGCTATGTGGTGTTACGTGCGTCACGCACAAACACCTGCCTCTTAAGAGTTAAGAGAGTTGAATGCTGCATGCTTGTTCAGAAACACAATTCATCGATAATGAAATATCCTGAGTGTATTTTTAAAATTTTGTACACAAATCTTAATTTCCATATCTAATCAGCACGAATGCGCAACACCTTGAAGGTGAAACTATTTGAATTTAGTTCAACAATAAAAAAAAAGGGTTACAAGGTGTTCCATGGTAGCGCATTAATCATTCGTAATCGAATTCAAAGTGTTAAAACAATAAAAAACTAATTACTAGTTGTCACGCTTTGTTGGGCATAATGATGCTTCTATTCCCTATTGTTTCAACGCGTATTGAACTGAAATCATTAATCATCGAAATTTAAACTCCGAAAAAAATACTGCATAAGCAGGAAACCCTGAAAACCACAGGGTTAAAATAACAGTTAACGGTCACTGGGCGCTACGTACTTAGATACAAGGAAGTAATACGAACAGAAAAAAATCTCCCACGCATCCTAGCATGAAGCAATAAAGAAGAATACCTACGTATCCGGAAAACCATCCATGCATGCTGCATGAAAGCATCCTACAATAAGACGTAATAAATTCTCGGCTTTATTTTAGACTGCATCCCCAAAAACACCACCCAGCGGAATTCTCCAGCAGCCAGGTCTAAGTCCCCTAGATTCGAGAAAGTTGCCAAAGGTCTAATTCAATTTCTATTGATCACTTTCTGAATGCGATCTCTCGGAGGCATACTCGAAGCGCAACACAACGAGGACGATATTTATGTGATGTCGGTGATGCGGCGTCCAAAGGTGGATGCAAGGGTGGGCCACAAAGCAATAAAATAAGGAGCAGTTCACATTAGCAGCCAGGCCCCACTACCATCATAAATTCTATAATAAGCAAGCAAGCAATAGCGAGCGCAGTACGAGTAAATAGATGATTAGTTGCCAGCGGAGGAAATCATGTCAAGTCGCATCTTTTACCCCAGAATACCGAGAATAGAATGGGAGATAACGAGATCACTTCGTGCTTTTGGTTATTCAACTACTGGAAATTTTGGGAACTTGTTAGAGAAATTCAGTAGATCGTTATTTCAGAAAATAGCAGCGCACAGCACAGCGTATCCTCGTTAATTAATAAAATAATCATGTAGGGGTTGTGCTAATCCTATTTTTTTTTCTGAATCTAAGTTGACAAAAGCGGACAAGGTCACCTAACGGGGTGGATTGCTGATGGGGTTATGAAGTTAACAATGCGCGAGCAGAATTAGGCAAACCACAGGAGTGCTTTGGCTTTGACCCGTTGTAGATATAATTTTCATAACGTAAATAAATAAAAAACACAACACACACACACCCAGATTAGTAATCTCACCCCCTATGTATCATGATTATATTGGTTTTAATTCGAGCGTATGAATGATAGAGTAATAAACAGATCAAATAAGCTGATTTAATATTATTGCGATGTTGAAATTTTAATCTGCAATTTATTTTTTTCGCTCGAGTTAACTGACTAGCGCGACAGATGTTTTAAACTTTTTTCAACCGATAATCTAATATAATAGTGCGCTACTGTTGTCATTACGTTATAAATTGATAATATTTGTTCACGGATTACCTTCGTCAGAGTTTAAAAAATCCTTTTTCGCGGCTATCACGTTGTTTGCCAATAAAACGTTCGATTTAAAGCGTTTTCTAGGGCACGACGCATTTTACATTTACGAAATTTTCTAAATATTGACGCAGCCCGACGGATTAGTTGTCTTTTGTTGACTCTATTTGCCTAGGCCTAAAGCATCAACCATAGCACAAACCGATGAGCAGATGTCCCGTTTCTGGTCATTGCATTCCACACAATGCTTTTTAACATAACATAACATAACATAAACTTCACTTAAAAAATAACACAGAAATATTTATGCATCTTGAAAGTTTATGATCGATCTGTATAATAAAGATATCATTTTTTCCGGAGTGTTTGTCTCAGGTGTCAGTTACAGTCCACGTCCACCTTTTACGGTAAAAGTTTCCTCAGCTGTAAATGTGATCTTTTCGTGTCGATATCCATCTTTGAATGGCACGCGCGCGTCGTGAAAGCTCTTTTTATGCTTCTAACAAACACCCGCTGCTTCACTTTATGTAACAATGTAACGCTGTAACGTTTTTCATTCTTGCGCACAACCTGCACAACACAAAACGTATTTAATTACGAATGTAATCGTAGACAAACCAAAAACTTTCACCGACTAATATAATACTTACAACTCCCTCAAAATTAGAATCAAAAGCGTAAAATTATAGAATTTAAACGCAATCATACTTAATAACTATTCTTGTCTATTCAAGGGCATTAAAGACGAATCAAGCGCTCCCTTCAAGCGTCAACAAAATTATTGCGTTTCACTTCGTGCATGACATGATATCTTCAAATATTCAATAAGTATAGTTTAATGTACCTGAACATTACTTCCGCTAGCGTAATTTAATCCCTCAACAAGTATGCGGGTGGAAAGTTAGAAAGAAATTAATTATTAATTCGCAAAATATCAAAAAACAACGCGTTTTGTTAAAAAAACCCAAAATCAATTTAAAAACACTAAAAATTCTTTGTACAAACAAAGTAGATAAATAAATATATTCACACCGGATATTTATTTGTGCATGTAAGAAGCGTAAAGGTGCATTTCCGCCTTTACACGCATAATTTCAATTCCACCTCCTCGCTTTGTCTTTAAACTTGCATTACTATTTTAAGTGTGGAATTTTTCTAACGTCCGTTTTTTATTCGTATTTCCGATTTAAACTTCACGCTTACACTCCCGTGAAGTGTACTTAAGTTAACAAGTGTTTTTATTTTTATTTCCTACATTTACAATGATTTCTACTTCAACACCTCTCACCTGACTTGCGTTTTTCCGGTAAAACTAAACTCTTCGCGCGTTTAACTCGCAATGATCGCCTACGAATCGAGCGCAAAAACGACTCGGGCATCCTCTGCCGGAACGGCGTATCCGCATGATGTTTCTTCTCCGACATGAACCAGCTCTTCACCGTCGTCATCGACAGCAGCTGGTGCTTGCTCTTCTTCGGCGTGGCCGCCGGCTCATTTTTCAAATCCACCATGATTAATTTATCCTGTCCGTGCGGTACACGTGTAATTATCCACAAAACAATTCGCTTAGGATTAAAGTCACTAATAATAACACTTTCGTCCGCATTTTTAATATTCGCAACACGCAACACGGAAGTTCGTGTCTTCGTATCCAGTACACGCGGACATGAATGCGTCGCCGGCGGAACGCTGACGGTGAATGAAAGCCGACCGAAGCGGAGGTAGGGTACGAAGCGTACGAAGAGCGCAAGTCTTCCCCACCTATACCACCTATATCCATCAAATATATATTCATGTTTCTATGATTTGGCGTAGCGCACGAAAACATAAAAACTACACAAGCACTAAAACTGATTACCATTGATTTTATTTATCGAAGCGATAATGAACGAGTCATTAAAATTTCAGTGTGTCATCCAGTCATCGAATAAAAACCGACAGATTTTCGATTTTACGAGTTGACGTGCTATGCGGTGATGCTTTCCGGTGTTACGCTCGCATTTACAAGTCGTAAAAATCACATTAAAACCCTTCAGAAGCACTCGCAAAGTAAACTTGAATTCGCACTCTTGACTTCGGATTTAACTGAAGTTCAAAGTTTACTACTTTACTACAATTCCCAATCCGAATTGATCCAAAGTCTAAGAATACATCCTTTAGCACTTTAAGATTTTTTTAAAAGAAAAAATATAAAACTTGGCCAATTATAATCAGATTTCAACAACATTAGAAACATTTCAACATATGTTGTGCTATATTACTCGTAATTTGTTGAAAAACAAATAAAAAGTAAATTTAAAAAAATGTTTTCTTTTTTTTTCTCTTTTTTCTAACAAGTAAATTGCTAAAGTGATGAAGCAAAACATCAAACAATTAAGGCTAAACGCTTTGTTCTAATGTGCTTGATTGAAGTAGTGGCTTTGCACAACGCGTTTGTGTCTTAATGTTTCCCAACCATTTTGTAATTACATACAAAGTGAAGCGTAGACAAGTTCCCAAAAACCCATCGTGTATCGAAAGTGTAAAGTGTATAAACATTAACAAACGACATACTTAGACTTGATTAAACAATGCCTCTTAAACAATGGGTTTGCGTTAAAGTTCGTGTTAATTTTCATGCGAAACAACTCAATTCAATTAAGTTATGTTTTTAATCATTAAATTTGTAATTTATTACGCGCTAGTAACAAATTTAAATGTCGTAATTTGTAACGTCGGTAATTTTAATCAAATCATAATAAAAATAATTATATCTGTGGTAATATATGCAAAATAATTTGATGGTCAGCGTAATAATGCGTTCACGGTCATGCCAAGCGACGTAATTTTTGCATATTTTGTATTTGTATTGAGGTTATTTCCGTTTGCCGCGCACACATCTTCAGCAAAATTGCAATTTATTACAATGCGTGTACCTGCGTCATTTCGCCACACAATCATAACGTAATATGCAAAACTAATCACCCGGATCGCACAGATAATAACGACATAGTTTTCAATCCGTTAAAAACGGTTGCAAAAACGCAAAAAGTTAAAAATAAAAAAGTTTAAAATATTCTTTCGAATTTAGGCCTTGTTTTGAATAGCATTAGATAACATAATAATAGACGTAGAACACAGTGTGTTACTGTGTGTGCGCCCGACCATGTCCAATTATGATTTACAACACCTTGACTCGATTTTTTACGAATCCGATATGACTACACAAACACACACACACATAGAGGAAGGATTATGGTGCGTCAATGGTCCGCAAACGGCGATTACAACACCGGCGGCTAGTTACTGCCGGGGCTATTGTCCTTTTGTAAAAATAGACAAACGGGGAAACAAGGTGCTAAAGACTAGGGAGTGGCATAATTAAGATCTCACGATTTTTCAAACAAGAAAATAAAAAAACACAAAAAATTGCAAAAAAAATAAGAAAATTTTAAGTTTTTAGCCTGGCATTTCCAAAATATTAAAAAGCGTATGCGTGTACGCGTACACAGTACACTTGCAACGCGGGTCGTATTCATGCTCTCCGACTTTCTACTTTCCTGCGTCTCTGTACATTTAACAAATTGTTACATTGTTATTTCCGGCGCAAGCCCGTTTTCAACCAAAATTGTTTAACGAAAACAAAAAACAGAGACAGTTTTTTGAAATAAATCTAGAAAGTCCATTAATAAATTCAAAATATTTTCATAGATAGGTTTTAAAGAAATACAAGAGGACCAGTGATTAATTTCTATTTAAATTGCCAGAAATATTCTGGTTTTATTAATAGGATCTAATAATACAAGGAAGGAGAATGGGTGAGCACAAAGTAAACCGATTATTTTTAATAACTTGGTAATAGCAGTAAAAACGATATAAAATAGATAGATATTATATAATTAGAAAATATTTGTTTATAATAAAAGAAATTGATGAATTTCTAGTTCTTTTTAACTATTAAAATAATTAATTAATTAAGAAGGCACCCACATGTCTTAATTCAAAATATTAAATTACTTACTCGTAATCACCCAAAAATGTTAGAGAACATATTTATACAAAAAACCATTGAGTTTAGCTGTAGTGTATCACAAACCAATAGTTAAAAAACAAAACCAATACTTTATTGTTTCTTTAGGATTGTTCTTTCTTAGTCCGTCGTCTATCAAAGTAGAATAGAAATGAATGTTTGGGCATACACCGCATTCCAAACGATCGTTAACTAAGTAGAGAGCATTTTCGTGCATAAATTTGATTAGGCGCTCAGAACTTGGCCGTAAGTTCGGGCTGTTTTCGAGCGCAAACCAGTTCTCGAATAAGTAAGTAAGCACGATTCACCCACGATGCACCCACAATTTCATATCCCATGCAATCCACAAGTAGTATAGGTATAATATGAGCAACAATGACGCCCACGTGTAATTACTATAATTATTTGTTCCTGAACTAATTTTCTGAGTTTTTTCGAAATTATTATAGTTCTAAAGACTTTATAGATATGTAAGACATAGAACATGTAGAACATTTGCTACAGTTACAGGTTTATAGATAGGTTGTCGTAACCAAACTGTCTGGCAGATTTTGATAGCATTGGTATCCCGATGCAGGAGTAACTTGTGTAATTTCACTCAGATTGCTACCAGGAGACCAGAAAAACCACGCATAGTAAGCGATGGCCTTAAGTATACGAGTTTTAGTATTTGTAACCTGTAGCACCCAGCAAGTAACTCACCTACTGAATGACAACGATAGGAGTAACGTACGATTCAAACCGTTTCACACTAGTGCTATATTTTTACAGAGACTGTAAGGCGAAAGAAGTTGCATTGGACGCCTCTAATCGAAACGACCAGCGACCTCAATCAACATTTAAGCGAGGCAGTGCATTTCTGCCACAAACATCAGGATACCAGAAACGCAAGAAAGGTAACCACAACTTTCCCCATCTTACTTGTGCCCACAGCACCGCAAACTGTTGATTGTATTGGTTCAATGGAAGATTCCGTTCGCTATCTAGTTGGAAACAATTTTTTGTTTTCTTTTACATCGCGGCGAACGCCGTCGAAACTCTGTTTTTCATATCAGGCGAGCAGAAGTTGCCGTGGGTGGCTTTGTACACTTTGTGGGGTAAATGCTACACAGAAGGCGGAAGGCGCACAACTAAGGCGTGAAACAAACAAACAAAACGCTGCGTCGTTTTATGGATTACCGGGCCTGTCGGCAAAGAAAGCGCGACAACCTTTGTTCGTGCCTCTCCACTGCCGGCGACAGAGGCCGTAATCGCTAAGAAGAAAAAATAAATGTCTTGCAGCCGATACACACCTCGATTAGGTGCGCATAAAACGTAGCAAGTAAATTGTAAACAACTCGGTCGCAGAGTGCCAGCAAGTTGGAATCTATCCTTCTCTTAGGTTTCTACTTTAATGTCGATTTACAATTATACAGAGACGGATTAATTTTATTCAAAATATAATTAAACAATTATTTTTAACAACGCACATAAACATATTGAAATTTACACGTATGAAAAATATTATTGTAGAAAATTAATTTAAATTTGTTGAGCCCTCCTGTAGGTAATTTTGTAAATACATTTTGCGCCTTGTTTTCAATGGTGGAATGCTCTTTTCTTCATAAATGCGGATGTGTGAGTGTAGAACGGAATCGTATGACGTTGTGTTGATTGTGATGAAGCCCCATCAATCATTTGTGATGTTTTTGACGAAACTAGAGTGATGTTTTTACACGTTTCTACCAGGCGAGCAGGAAGTGTATGCTGTTAGATTGAGTTGCCGGGCGTTTCCCGTTCTATTCCAAACCTCAACTCCAGTATGGAACCAAAGGAAAGCAAATAAAACAAGATACGAGCTGTGCTACGTCGACTAAAACATGAATTATAAATTTCAATTCTGCATAAAGCGTAGGTACGCGAATTTAATTTGTATGAAATTAAGATTTTAGTGAAAATTAATTGTTCTTTAAAGATTACTAAATTCAAGATTAAAAAGATTAGATTAGAGACAGAATGTTTATAAAAATATGCACGCGTTTTGGTTTATTGCGTGTCTGTAATAATGAGAGACCTAAAAAAGTAAACGAAAGCATTTTAGGTGACCGAGCAGAAAACATGAAATGCTGAGCAGGAGTTCATAAAATCGACGAATATGTGAACTGTAGTTGTAAAAATGTTTATAGAGTTAATTCAAATGTTCTGCCATTTATTTATTTAATTATCAAAAAATTGCACTGGAATCGCGTGTGGTACTTGGAAATTCTACGCGTCTTGGGACTTACAAAATATTCATTATAAACATAAATTTGGAACAGGTCCACATGAATTCGAGAACGTATTCGGTTGAGAATTACAAACCAAACGCAAGGCAAGCAAGCAAGCGACTCAAAGAATTCAACGCCTCCGATACCGAAACAACCAACCGAACCTTGCTGTAGCGATGACGTTGAGCTGATAGTCAAAGTTCCCAACATGCGAGTCCATAAAATGTACGGTTAACAGTACCGTTATATTGTTATAAACAATTCCACGCAGTCGCCCAACCTCGCGTCGCAACGTTGATTGGTGTACCGGGTCGGACGGAGGATGGCGGTGGATGGCACCGTATGCTCACATTCTAAAATATTGTTAAATTGTATTAGGACGCTAGGAAGCAGCCGGACGTGCGTTTGTTGCTGCGCGTCGCTTTTGT